AGAAGCTACTTAACAAAAAAGAAAACAACTTGTAGTTAGTAAGGACGGTTATCAAAATAATTATCTTGATATCGTATGCGGTGTTCATCAAGGTTTAATCCTCGAACCCCTACTTTTCTTGATATATATAAATGGTATGAATAAAGCTTCTAACCTTTTAGGTATTATGTACGCAGATGATACCAATCTATTCCTCTCAAGCAGTAATATATTTAAACTCTTTACCACTATGAATAAAGAATTAAAACATATATCAAACTAGTTTAAATGTCATAAGCTAAGATTAAATGTTAATAAAACCGAATAGACTCTATTTGGTTTTATACTCTATCGTATGCAAAAAAGCAATTTTTACCAAGAAACTTGCGGCAACTTTATATAGACGAAATTGAAAAAAAAAATGATTCCATTATAAAATTCTTAGGCGTTTATCTCGATGAAAACATCTCCTGGAATCAACACATTAATTATGTATCTACTAAAATTTCAAAAAACATTGGTATTCTTTATAAAGCTCGTAACTAGATTGATAAAAATTGCATAAGCCAACTTTATTACTCTTTTATCCACAGTTGCATAAATAACTACTCCCCAAGCATAATTAACACTGCTTGGCGGAGTACTGTAAAAAGTAAGTTAAAACTTCTTTATCTTCAAAAACATGCGGATCGCATGTTTTTGACGATTAAGATAGCTAATCGTTTTACACATACAAAATCTATTTTTACTGAAATGAGATTATTAAATTTATTTGAATTCAATGTTTTTAAAGTTTTATGTTTTGTATATTTAGGAACGTACTCTTGTCAAACCCCTATTCCGACGTTGAGCCTCCTTTGCGCCCGCGAACTCGTATTTCTAGGAAATAGGGAAAATGGGGTATATAGGGATTTGCGCAGCGGTGCGCACTTACACCGACTGATTTTTAGAGAGAACATGCAGCGAATTGTGTAAACAACGACTGAGGGTTTGGGGTAGGCAGGTTCTCTTTTAAATGAAGAAGTCGTTTTTTAACATTTTCAGACCTTAAGGACAGCGTCGAAATAAGGGTTTGACAAGAGAGCCTACCGTATATTTATCGAGAAATAATATATCCCCTACCGCTTTTAATAATATTTTCTAACTCCAACCTAACAACAAATACGATGTGAGAAGCATAAATTTTTTAAATGAGCCGTTTTGTCACACCAAATTTAATCAATTTTGCATTGCTTATTATGCACCCCACCTATGGAATAATATTGCTTTGCGGAATTTCGACCAACCAACTTCCTTTTATCTTTTCAAGCTCGATCTAAAAAAATGTATTTTTTTACTTGATAATATACTCTGATTTTTTGAAAATTGTTATTTGAACTGGATTTTATTACTTTTTTATTTTAAATTTTACTTTATTTTTTAGTATGTTATACTTGTCTTTATCTTGTATGCTTGTGTTTTATGCATTTATGAGACATACATTCGTATGCTCCTTGTATAAAGGGGGTATTCACGCAAAAAGACTTTTGTCATAGTTTGTTAAAATTATTCAGGAGGGTCTTTGCCCTTGAATTGTGGAAGAACAAGTTAAGAAATTGTCTTTATTTAGATTGTTTAGATAAAAAAATGAGATCTTTGACTTTTACAGGGGTGGGACCGCAAAATGTGAACGTTTTTGTTTTATTATAACTATTTTCTCGTTAGATGTAGTTGTACTCTCTCACTCATCAGAAAGTGTCTAAAGAGTTGTTAAATATGAACTATTTTAAATAAGAATGTCCAACCATTGGACATTCTTATTTAAAATAGTTCATATTTAACAGAAAATTAATTATTACAATCAGAAAAGTGTTCACATTTTGCGGTCCCACCCCTGTAATTCTTGACTGTATGTTGATTTCTTATTGATGCCAGGTAAAGACTAGGTATAGGAAAATAACCAGGATTTCTGTTTTTAATCTTTAAAATTGCACTACAATCTGTTGGATGAATGTATCGAATTCTTTGTTGAAAAAACTGACTTCAAATGTTCTCAATATGATAGGTGGTGTTGGTTGTAAAAAAAATCTTTTCTTTTTTTTATCTACAAAAGTTTAGAAATCAATGTCAATTGCTACTTTTTTAACTCTCCTAAAATAATAACTTAGGAGGAACAAGCTTGTCTTCAATCAGTTATTGCATTTGCTTTATATCGTTGTTTATGTTAACGATGTGGAAAGAAGGAGTTTAACATTGTTTAGGGTTGTCTTGGTTTTAAAAAGTAGTTAAAATGACAGACTTTAATGATTTAATCCATTTTAAAAGTGAAAAAACGGTATTCAAAACTCAGAAAGATCCATTACTTTTAGTTTTAACAACACTTTTGGCCTTTTCAACAGTTGGATAAAAGCTTTAAACCTAGCGTTTGATTTTAGAGTTTAATTTTACGAATGACAAGCGAGTTCTTGAAGAATTTTTAAGCACGCAGTGCCTATGCTAAAAACATTGGTAAAAATTCGAACACTTGCAAAGTATGATTTAGCAGAAACAAAAAATTCTATAGGGCAAACCCCACAAAACTTGAAGGTATTAGTCGCAAAGAAAGATAGTCTTCTTTCGGATTCTTCTTAGACGCCTTTGTAGGTTTGACCTTATTTTAGACATTGTACCGTAAAAACTGATGGCCGATTAAACTTTTACTACTTTTATTGATACGTTTTTTATTATATCTATATACAGGGGTGGGACCGCAAAATGTGAACGTTTTTGTTTTATTATAACTATTTTCTCGTTAGATGTAGTTGTACTCTCTCACTCATCAGAAAGTGTCTAAAGAGTTGTTAAATATGAACTATTTTAAATAAGAATGTCCAACCATTGGACATTCTTATTTAAAATAGTTCATATTTAACAGAAAATTAATTATTACAATCAGAAAAGTGTTCACATTTTGCGGTCCCACCCCTGTATTAGAAAGATATCTGTATTTTTTTTGTTTGTTAACAGAAACATAACTAAAAAAAAGGTAACTATGAAAAACACCAACAATAAAAAACACCAACAAAAGTGATATTAACAGGTTAATATTTACAAATCTAAATATATTGAGAGACATGAAATCTACATAAGAAATAAAAAACATAAGAAAATACCAAAATAAATTACAAAACTAATTTTCACATAAATTATGATAGCTTAAGTATTTTCGTTTTAGATTCTTTGCTACTGCCGGGAGTGCACTTCCGGCAGTATTAAATAATTACCATGGTGCGCAATTCTTTAGCAAAATATTTGAATATATTCTGCAATATATATATATACATATATATATATATATATATATATATATATATATATATATATATATATATATATATATATATATATATATTCAGATAACTTCCAATAATAATTGGTAGTGTCATCTTAAATTTTTATTGCACTTTTTTGCAGATAGTTTAGATTTTATTGCACTTTTTTGCAGATTCGTAAAAGCCTAGACAGCAAATTTTTGTCAAAAACTTGCTGTCTAGGCTTTTTATGGCCATTTTTAACGCTAGCTGCATACTTATTAACTTATTGGATAAATTGCTTGTGATTTTTTGCAAAAAGATTAAATGAAATAGCTGTTAACAATAGCACAGAAATTTAACTATCCATGCTGTAAGTCTTGAAATCACTTCTTCAAATCGTTGCTGTGGGAAAAAAGTTGAAATCTTAGGCTTTTTTTTGTCTGTTTTCTGTTTTTTCTGTTTCAGATTTTGGAGTCAATATTTCCTGTGTATAGTAAAAAACCACATACTTTTACCAGTAAATTGGTAAAACAATTTTACTGATTTACAGGTGAATATTTGGTAAAAGCTTAACTCTATTTATAATCAATATCGTTGATTAAACCACAATCATGAAGGAATTTATAAACTGCTATAAATGATGATGACTCCTACCAGCATTTTTACTTTATAAAGTAATTAAATTATAAAACAATTAAATAAATTAATTACAGCAAAAACAGTCTACAAGTATAATCTTGAAAATGTCTAATGTTAAAAAATTGTATTTACAAAAAAATTTTAAACGAGCTTGCAGCAATAAGGATTTTTTGTTAAACGATTATAACTATAAAAGTACTTATGATATACATTGCAGAGCCTCCTTTAGATTGAAACAACCCTTATTTCAAGTTTAAAAAATTGCGTAATCATGGTGTCATACTTTTCCAGTGAGCAAATCCAGGTTTTGCGTTTTTTTGTAAAATCAAGACTTTATTTAAAATAAACAGTCATTTAGGGTCGTCCATAAAGTACGTACGCTTTTTTTTGTCTACCCCCCTTTCCCCCCCCCTTCCCCCGCATTTTGCAGTACGCTTTTTTGAGTACCCTCCACCTCTCTAAAAGTATCTCGCTTTTAACCCATTTATCTAACATTTTATGATATATTTTTAAATTTAGTGTCTCCTTTCTTTCATAACTGACCCACTGCCCTCCTATCTTATATACGCCATTTGCAGATTCCCTCTTCCCCTATGAGCGTACGTACTTTATGGACAATCCCTTTTGTCTGAGGAATGCATTATAGAAGTTTAGTTAAAGTGTCATAAAATTTACTTTAGTTCAGCGAAAAAATTATTTTTTTCGCTGAACTAAAGTAAAGTAATTAATTAAATACGGATTTCAATTCAGAAATCCGAAAGAAAAATTTATCCTAAAAATTAATCTATATGACATGCGCCACAATTCTGCCAACTTTAGAGTCACAAAACTCAAAATAAAATCTGACCGATTTCTATTATCGATGCAAGTTATTGAGCCACTAAAATTTATAAAGAAAAAAAGAGCAATAATTTTTAATATTATTTAACTCATATCTTTTATATCAAAATTTTTTTCCAATACTTTAAAATACTCGAATTTATAATTTCTTAATGACATTCTTCATCATACTAACACAGGTTTATTATTCAAAAAAAAATTTATTTTACTTATTATTAAAAAAATTCTTATAAAAATTCCAAGTTTCGGTTCTTAAAAAAAAAAAAATTATTGGAAAATGATATTTTCTATGATGAAAGACATTTAAGTGATAAATAAGAATAAATTCAAAAATAAAAAGTCAATTGTTTATCTCAGTTATTAGCTCCTTATCAATTTCCATTTTTACTATTTCGTTCATTTTCTTGACCATTTCTGCGTCATCATAGTAAAGTATATTTGTACAATTAATAAACATGTCAAGCGTTTCGTTTATTTCACCATTGGTTACATCTTCATTCAACAAGTAATCGTATTTTGATAATTTCTCATCAAGCAAAGCGTTTCTCAAATCAACAGCATAAAAACTTTTCACTAAACAAGACATCAAGACACGTAAAAAATTGTTTAATGTGTGAGTGTATTATACACTCACACATATAATATGTATATAAAATAACATATAATATGTATATAAAAAAAAAGGATAAGTTTATGCATTGTATATAATTCTTCCAAATAAAAATCATATAAACGATCATCTATATATACTTGAATCATTTATTATTTACCTCCTTTGAACTCTTTATAACGATTTTTGTTTAATCTTGGCTTAATTACGCAAGAAACAGTCGAAAGACTTTCAGGTTCAGGAGCCTTTTCATTTACGGAAGAAGCAGTCAAAAGACTTTCAAGTTCAGGAGCCTTTTTATTTTCATTTATAAGATAAATCTCTTTTTTTTTCTTCGAAGAACCCCAACCAAACAAATCTAATATGAAATTGTTAAAGTTAAACTGGCATAGAATGGTATCAAATTAGTTTGACTTTTTGATATTCATACATACATACATATATACATACATATATATATATATATATATATATATATATATATATATATATATATATATATATATATATATATATATATATATATATATATATATATATATATATATATATATATGTATATATATATATATATATATATATATAAATATATATATATATAATATATATTCCATATGTAGATATAGTATTGTATATAATATATATACTATATACACTGTGTAAAAAGAAAAAAATTTGATATTGGATTTTCTACTAATTTATTATTGATATGTTCTTTTAAGAACATTTATTTTCTCTTATTTTTCGTAAAGGTACTTGTACTAAAAAATGTCATTTTTTGAATAGCTATTTTTGAATAGCCATAAATTTATTTATTACATGAGCTGACAAAAGGCTTAATATATACCAATGAGGTTTTAAGGTCTTAGGGGCTGTCCATAAAAGACACCACCATTTTTAAAGTAATTTTTGACCCCTCCCCTTCCTTTGTCACCAGTTGTTATTTTTTTCCTATATCCTCTTCCTCCTTAAAAATGATGTCTTATAATTGGGACCCCCTCCATTTTTTAAACAAAATCCGGTTTTAATTTAAGCATTTTTATTGGCATTTTTCACATGTGAATTGCATTTTTCAGTGTTTGAATACCACCATTCAGTAGCTGAATATGGTATTTCCATATTTGTTCTTGTAGGTCTCCTTGAAAAAAAAAAAAATTATATTATTAAACTCTTATTCTATACACTAAATTTAATAAAGGTGTGTTATGGGAACTTGTCTCATTCTTCATCCATTCAAGGACTTTTTAAATAATTGTCAATTGATATGATTGGAATAGAGCAGCCCGATACTTCTGAAATATTTGCATCATTTGAAATATTAAAATTCTTTATTTCAATTTTGCCCTCATCCACACATTCAGCATAGGTCTTGATTGACTGAGGGATATCATAAGAAGGAAGTTTGAATGATTTCAATGATTAAGGAATGGTGCTCTGAATATTGCAGGTAATAAGAAAAAATACAGAAGGAAAACAATTCTTGCTGAAATGGCTACAACTTTCACGCCATCTTCTGACTGGTGTGTTGGAATAGGTCAGGTCAGGTTATCCTGCTACTGGTAACAAGTAACCCAGTACAACCGAAATCAAAATTCTGTTTCTCTAAAATGAAGATCCACTTTTTCACACAAGCATTTATCATATTGGTATTGTAGTTGAGTATTTTGTGGTTTTCTATTAAAATAATTTTTGTTATTTTATTTAATTATTTTTATTATTTTATACCTTTTAGCTTGTTTTTTGTCATTTTTGTTATAAAAAAAATTTATTTATATTTTATATATATATATATATATATATATATATATATATATATATATATATATATATATATATATATATATATATTGTTTTAAATATCCTATATTATTTGATATTGAATTCACATCTCTAACTATCCTTAATTTTTCTTCAAAAATATTAGTGCTTTACAAGTTTGGGTGAAGATAGGGTTTTGGCTGTTTGTAGTCAAGCCCTTTTTACTTCAATATGAAGTCAGCATAAGTTACGGGGTAAAGCATAAATGATGATGATGTTTATCTGACGGGATAAACTAGGTATTGGTGCTGAGCCTCGCGAAATGCTGGCAATAATAAACGTGACTCTGAGGAGAATTTTATTACCACCACTACATAAATTATGATTACACAAAAGCAATAATGTTTTTTCTTTTTAAATATTTGTTCGTTTTAAATATTGATTTATCTATAGATATGAATATTTATTTAAAGTATGTTAAACATTTGTATTTACTGTAGATTTATGGTTACTTATGTGTTCTGTTTTGTTCTTATTACATGCGCGGTGTCTAAATTATCATTATTATTTTTTACTACATGCTTTACTATAGTGTCTTTGTTTTGTTCTGAGCATCTGTTCAATATATATTTTTAATATTTTTATCCTTTCTCTCTTCCTAATTTTTTCTTTATTTCACTTGGGTTTGACAGCTCGGTCTAGTCCTTTGATGCATATTTTTGCATATTTTTCAAAAGAAGGTTTACTGTCCTACCTTAAATATAAGTTGCAATGCAGATAATTAAATCCTTAAGTCTTGCTATATATATATATTGTAATTTGATAAAGAGTTAAAAAAGAATTTGAATACTTTGAGAGTCTAGATGAGTTCCATAATGATCATGAGGGAAGATCAATCCTGTCAACTCTTTACTTAGTGGAGTTAAGTGTTGGCAAGACTGGTGTAAAGAAAAATGAAGTTTAAATCAATTTCAATGACTTTAGCGTATCTTGGATTTTCATATGGTCCACCACCAACAGTGACAACAATAACTGACTTAAACAACTTGGTCAAAGAGTTTTTTGTAATGAAATCAAACTTAGGCAAAGTCAAGAGTTATTTGAGATCATAAACTGTCCATGATGAATGCTTTCCAGATCGAGCAGCAACATAAGTGGAACTATAATAGGAAACTGTGCCAAATTTTCCAAGCCCATCTGCTTTGATTTTGATGTTTGCATAAATACATGAGATGAGCTTTTGTTTTTTGGGGATAACCTAATCATGATCAGGAGGAGAAACTCAATATACAGGTTTTATTTTATTTTTTCAATATACAGGTTTCATTTTGCCATCTTTTAATTTTGACAATTGAGAATGCAATAGAATTGTAATAAAAAAATAAAAACAGATGTCTACAGATGTCAATGAGGTATTAAAAAAAAAGAGCTGTCTACCATCTTAAATTTAATAAAGTATCATTTATAAAAAGCTGAAAAACCATTCTATATACTGCAAGCTATCACCTAATGTAGTAGAAGCAATACTCGCAAAACCAGGTTCTTTCTGGTGAAGATTTATGGTAAAGCACCCCAGCCTAACTCAAAAGAAATAAGAGAGAACTTCTATGAACCATGCAATGAATTGCACTAGATCAGTGGGTAAAAGTCATTTAAATGAACAAGCTAAAGAACCTAAAACTATAATGAAGAACATATAAAGTATAATGAAGAACAGTGAAAAATTGTGTGGTATAATAGATACTAAATGCATGTTTAATTATGACAACACACCACAGTTTGTAAACTTTAGAGTTGACGGGAGTGCAAGCTGGTTCTTGTTTGCTGGAAAGAATGACAGCTGCTATCAAACTATCCTCAAGAACAGAGATTGTATTACTATTCACCTATTTGTGTTTTGTGCTAGGGATGTAGTTACTTACCATGTCTTATTATCTGGAAAAAGAATAGCCAGTAAAATGGCACCAAAATTCACAATGGAAAAGATTCCAGGCTTGATTTTATCAACTACAGAACATGGAGTATAAGATCAAAATATTTTACTCGATTTCTATAAATTCTTTGAAAGTATATAAAATTATAAATCTCTTTGAAAGTAAGTTAATAGAGAAAAATGTTGAGAGACCTGTAAAAGTAGTCACTCTAAAAGGTTTGACCTGAGTGTCAAGTAAATTAAGTAAACCATAGTTTACACTATCATTACCGTTAATGTAAACCAAAACTGGTCTCTAATATAATTACAACTGATTGTTCTAGGTTCATAGAAGTATTAAGGGATATATGCTCATCGTGGATCAAAAGAATCAAGAAAGCAAAAGTGGTTGGTATTGCAATGTCAGGTCTATATATTAACTGACTTAATATTAAATTTTTGATTTTTGAAGATTGTCATTTAATTTCTAGTGCTTTTTGATGAGTACATAGAGAAAAATATACATATTCTTGTTAAAAATCTTTTTTACTGGTCTTTTAATAATAAGACTTTTCATGGAATTTTTTTGTTTTATATTTATGTCACAAAAATCTATATATATATATACATATATATATATATATATATATGTATATATATATATATATATATATATATATATATATATATATATATGCTTTTATATATATATATATATGCTTTTATATATATATATATATATATAATATATATATATATATATATATATATATATATATATATATATATATATATATATATATATATATATATATATATATATATATATGTATATATATGTATATGTATATATATGTATATGTATATATATATGCTTATATATATATATATATATATATATATATATATATATATATATATATATATATATATATATATATATGTATATATATGCTTATATATATATATATATATATATATATATATATATATATATATATATATATATATATATATATAAAAGCATATATATATATATATATATATATATATATATATATATATATATATATATATTTGTATACATATACCGTTAATACCGTTAATACAGTATTAACAGCTGATGATTGACTTCAGGCATGAAACTTTAAGTCCCACTAATCAGTTGTTTTTATTCATCTAAACAAAATATAATTATATATATATATATATATATATATATATATATATATATATATATATATATATATATATATATATATATATATATATATATATATATATATATATATATATATATATATGTAATAAAACAAGCTTCTTACAAATTTTACCATTTTTATCTATTGCAAGGTTTTAAATATTTTCCCTAGAGAAAATACTTTATAACTTCAATTTCTAAATCTGCCTGCCTCCTTTTATAAAATATTTTAATGCCCAAATGTAATAAATTCAGTGACTGTCAGCAACAAAGAACTAGTTTAATGTGTGCTACTAAAGCCCTGGTTAAAATACGATTATTGAATAGCTTCAATTCCAATATTGTGTCATGAACAAATTAGGTATAAATAACACTTGTAATTTCTAGTTTTGAGAAAATATAATATACAATAAATAATATTAATATAAATATCATTAAATATTAGTAAGTTATTTTACTTTATAAGAATAGCATACTGATATTAGAA